CCTGTCAGGACACAGGACTTTTCTGCTGCTCTTTTCTTGCTCTTCTCACTTATTTCTTGAAATGTGAGGCCCTAAGGGGCAAGTTCCTCACCAGCAGCAGTCACCCCAGTACCGAGCAAATCTGGGGGTCTGCTCAGACTGCATGCTGTCCCTGCTGTTTCTGGCTGCTCTCTCAGTGCAGCTCTTCACATGTTGCCATGCCTTGACTTGTCCACCTTTGCCTTGCCAGCTGCCTGCTGTCAGGTCAGTAATGATGGTCCCTCTGCTCTTTTAACCCTGCTCGCAGCCTCTGGGGTTAATGTGTTTCTTAGACTTTAATTCCCTCGTTTTCTTAAGGAGACACATGCAAGGCAGTGCCAAAAGCATCTGATAATGCAAGACTAGTGTCATGTTTGCTCATCACTGGCTTTCTGTTACCTCTCCCTCTCCATGCGAGTTTCTCCTACTTATCACCAGTGATTCAGAGACGGCCACAGCCTGGCTCAGGAGGAAGTTTGGGGAACCTTTGGGGCCTTTTTGTTTCACTACACCTGCCTTATTTACCTCTTCCTTACTTACTTGTTCTCTTTTCCCTTTTCTCACCTATGTGCACTGAATTTTGATTGTGTTGAGTACTTGACCATAACCTGGTTTTGTTTATGCAAAGACAAACCAAAAAGAGGTGGCATCTTTGGCTACTTGCTCCCATTCCTAACTAATGGGCTTTTACTTTCTTTTGTTTTTCAAATTTGTATTTGTAAAGCTGGGTTTTCTGGTCTCCTGTGTTTCCTTTATTTCTCTTGTGTTTCTCTGCCGGATTGGAAAGTCATCTGTTTACAGAGGTCTTCCATGGCAAGAGTAATAAAACCATAAGTCATTTCTTCACTCTCCCTTTACATCAGTTCCTTATATTTAATTCCATAAACACACTTAAACAGAAGCTATCTACTTTTGCTGAGCTGCAATTTTGTGCAATTCATTGAAATGTCCTTGATTCCAGTTAGAATGGAAAGTATTTCATCAGCATCCAGTAAGAAGTCCCATCCGGCTGTCATCTAAATGGAGAACTGAAAGCTTGGCCAACCACTTCTGCAGCAAAGAGGAAATATTTTCGCCATTTCCATCAGAAATAATCTTTGCAATTGTGAGATTTTCTGTGGTTCCTACCGGATGACAGGCTTTCCTCTGGTAACTGCTAATAGAGCCAATGCCACAGATCATCACGCTTCTACTTGTCATTGCGATGATCTCAGTTTCTAATTTCTTACCACCATCCTGGCATTTGTTGTTTCCTGTTGCTATTCTCTTGCCTATCCCACCCCTTTTCTCTCTGCTTAGGCAGGCAAAGGTGCTCCCACCAAGCCAGTGTTGCCCACTGCCATTGCTCATCCCCGGCTGTGGGCCCTGTGACTTGGTTCTCCTGTCCAAGCCCAGCTCAACCCTGGCTTGGGGCTGCTCTCCCCAGAAGTATTCCACCCTGGCAGTCGGGTAGCTCAGCATCTTGTTCCTAGAGTTGACCCAGAGAGCAATTGCTGGTTGCCTTCATTATAACAGCCTGTTGCATGCTGATGTCCTCCCTGACACGTCTCCTTGTTAAACAAAGCAATGCTGGCTCTGGTGAGGGCAGGAGAGATGCCAGAATGGGGTGGTTAGAGGGCAGAGGTCTGGGGCAGGCCTCTGTGGGAGACATGGGGGTTTACAGGCAGAGAGGTTCATAAAAACAGAAGGCTTCTGCTGGCTGACCCCTGAACTTGGGATTCCTCTGCACACAGAGGATGCTTTGAGATTAAGAGAGGTTTATCCCTGCGTGTGAATGGGGAGCATCGCCCCTGCCGTGCGGTGGGGATGGGAGGACAGGCGCAGCCATTGCTCAGCGTCTCGGTGAGTTAGACTTTTCCCTTGAATCAGGGCAGCAGGAA